CTAACTTAATATCTAAGCAAATAATAATAATAATAATAATAATAATAATAATAATAATAATAATAATAATAATAATAATAATAATAATAATAATAATAATAAACATATATATATTCTTCATCAGTTTGCATAATTGTTAAGCGGGACGACTTATCATACTATTTGAACAAATAATTTATATTTATACCATCAAATATCATACTTCTACTTATATTGATGTTTAAAGTATTGCATTTTCTAACAAAAGTATGCGCAAATGTATAATGAGTACATCGGCTAATTATTAGGCCGACCTAACACAAGACCAACCGAATATGAGACTTTCTGGGTTAAATGAATCTTGACTTTTTAGCATATAGTCAATATATGCTATAATGGGGAATGCTACCATCCCGTTGTGGGATGGTTCCGTTGTCTTTTGTAGCAGTAGATATGCATGTAATCTAGTAATATGTATATAATCTACGGTTAAAAATACAACGGAACCATTTCGTAACGGAATAGTAGCATTCTCCGCTAATAATATTGAGAATTATCACAAGATATGGACCCTCTCTTGATATTATTAACACTACATAGGCAATTTCTTGTATAATGCAACTGGGTCAACCTATAATATATCGTTAAAATAGTATGATAAATCGACCCTCCAATCTGATATGTGTAAATAGCGATAAAGTATGTCAACCTACTAGTGTTGTATGTAGAAAATCCATAATTTAGAAAACCAGATCGGATCGGCCGGTCTGACCGATTTGACCGGGAATCGATCAGTTGACCAATCCAGTTCGTTGGAATGAACTGATAACCAACGAATCGGTCAAAACCGGCCAAATACCGATCTGGTCAGACCGGTTTGAACATGTCCAAGTTTTTTTTAGATAATATATTTAAAAATTTATTTAAATATAATGTACATATATAAGTTATTAAAAAGAAGGATTCTCACTTCCCTCTTGGTGACACGAACTATGACCTATCGGTCTTACCACTCAAGTTGCGTTTCGTTATATGTTACTATTAATTAGTTTAAGTATTTTAAATGTTTTAAATTGACTTAATATATAATTAACAAAATTATATATATAAATTTTGTTAATATAAAATATTATATATATTTAAAAATATTAATAAATTAAATACTACTACAACCGAGTCAACCACTAGTCGAACAAGTGGATTAAACTACTAGTCGGACCCACTAGTCAAACTAGTAGAATAAACCATTAGTCGAACCAGTGAACTTTTAAACCACTAGTGAACTTTTCAAGTAGATGACGGTTTTCCGAATGTTTAGAAAATTATTGTCTATTCCAATGATGAAATCATTTGTACATATGCATGCGTATCACAAACTTATATTTATAGATTTAAGATACCTCGTGCACCACCATTATTTCTAAATTAAGATAGACTTATATGTATATATAAACTTCAATGCCAACTCTGAAAACCTTAATAGACATCGTGTCTAAAAATTAAGTTCAAATTGTAAAGCAAGAACTTGCAATTCATAGTTCTTCTTAGTCAGGCTGAAGCATCAGCCTTGCAAATTGGCAGCTCATTCTCAACATTTGGAGGAACTCTAAGAATGGGATTCCTCTCAAAGAAATTCACCGGCTTCAGATCGAAACTCGACGACACAGTCGGCATGATCGGGAAATCTTCCTGACACGGAATGTGATGGAATCCCAAAGTATACCACACCACGATATCCTTGTTCTCAATCTCTCGATCCCTGCCAAAAAAAA